ATTGTTTTCTAACTGTGGACTCCCTCATAATTTACGATGTTATCTTGATTATCACATGCAGATCCAATATCGGGAGTTACAATTGTACTACTCGAATTCCATTGAAGCATTGAAGACTAAGTTGCCATCCTTGACGCGTTGATGCTCATCCTACTCGTCTATGCAAATCTTACCTCGAGGCGTTTCGTTCGACTGACCAAGTTGCAACGTCTCGACAAATTTGATGTTTTAGTGGCTGCGAGGGCATTGGATGATGTTCAACGGAGATTATCATAGTGGGGGAGGAAGGAAGGGAGGAAGGAAGGAAGGAAGGAAGGAAGGAAGGAAGGAAGGAAGGAAGGAAGGAAGGAAGGAAGGAAGGAAGGAAGGAAGGAAGGAAGGAAGGAAGGAAGGAAGGAAGGAAGGAAGTACTAGTCCATACAGGGCTGCTATTTATTATAGGGACACTTGATTTTTGCAAGCTGTTCTCACAATACGAGGAGTTAGATTGTGCCGCACGGTACAATAAACACTTGCCTAATGCCTAATAACTAGCAGTAACCATCTTTTAAAAAATGTACGTATTGCAAATTCTAAAGTGAAATTGCCATTTTAGGGTTTTTTCTTATCTATAGGGACACCACCTAGAAGGCGGGATACTGAAACGACCATTCGTTGTGATTGGCTGAAATTATGCATAAAGCTACAAACTGTACATTCCTCCCTCCCGGCCACACGCGGAATCCGCACGGACCTCCACGATGACAAGAGGCAAGAAACTGTATGAGGAGGATATTGGACAGGTAAAAGCGCACTTTGGCGATGGAAAAAGCAAGCGGTGGATAGCACGAGAGATTGGCCGAAGTCCGAACGCTGTCTGGAACGTATTGAAAGCTCCTAATCGCGCAAAACCCCACAAACGACTCCGAAGGCGACCAAAATCGACCAAGCGCCTGATCCGACGAGTTGTTCGACTCGCTACCGTAAAAAAACTATCGTCTAAAGGTATTGTGGAGGCGGTTGGCTAGGTTCTACGACGCAGTACCGTCCATAAGATACTAAGCTCATCTAAAATTGCCAAGTAAATCAAGCGGAAACCGGCCCCGGCCATCAAGCCTCACCACAAGGTGGCTCGGGCGGCCTTTGCCGCCAAATAGCAAGTAAAACGCACACCTGGCGTCGATTAATCTTTAGTAAGGAAAAGAAGTTTAGCTTGGATGGCCCGGACGGGTACCAGTACTACTGGCACGACGTCCGGAACGACCAAGAAGTGTTCTCGATCCGGGCAAGTGGGTGGAGGCAGTTTAATGGTGTGGGCGCGTATGAGCCACTATGGAAAGACCGAGATCGCGTTCCTTGAGGGAAGGTAAAGCTCTGCCTGCTACACTAGCGCATTAGATACGTACTTGGCTCTTTATCTCGAAAATCTTCGTGAAAAACATGGCGTTCGGATGCCTAATTTTCAGCAAGATCGTGCCTCTATTCACGAATCTAGGTTCACGAAAGCCCATATTGAGGCCCTTGGAATCAGGAAACTAAAGTGGCCTGCTAAAAGCACCGATTTAAACCCAATTGAGAATGTCTGGGGCCAACTAGCGTGGTCGGTCTACGAAGGAGGACGTCAATTCGACACCAGTATGAGTTGAAGGCTCAGATCAAACGAAGCTGGGCCGCAACTCAGCAGAGCTAACTACAAGGTCTCGTGAAAGGTATGCCAACGCGAATGGCGTAAGTATTTTCAAAAATGGAAGTGCTATTGATAAATAGAACAACTTCTAGGCGGTGTCCCTAAAGATAAGAAAAAAAACCCTAAAATGGCAATTTCACTTTAGAATTTGCAATACGTACATTTTTTATAAAATGGTTGCCGTTAGTTGCTAGGCATTAGGCAAGTGTTTCTTGGACCAAGCGGCACAATCTAACCCCTCGTATTGCAAGTACAGTTTGAAAAAATCTAGCTTTCCTTTAATTAATAGCAGCACTGTACACTGTAGCTCGGAGAGCAGGTCTTTTTGAAACGGACTGGACGGGATAATGCACGTCGTCGTCTCCCTCTCTCATATCGCATGATCAACCTTTCGCCAAAGATACAAATGATACAAGTGATAGCGACGACGGTCTTTGCATCCGACCACCCGCATTGGATTTGGAACAGAGCGGGGCGTTCCGACCACGATATCCACGGCGGTTTACTATTATTAATAAAATACGTCTCGTTGGAGGACTGAGCATGCTTCCACCGACAGTGCAATTCATTCTTCAATTTGCCTCCAAATTGACCAAGTTACATGAAATTTCTGTCGTCCACGATCGTACTCGCGCTCATGGTCAGCGCTGCCCACGGTGGGCGGATGGTCAGACAGAGCTCGAAGCCAAAGTGCAGCGCGAAAACACACAACCCCGTCGATCTCTGTCAGTGGTGATCCCAGAAACCAGCAATGGTCGAGCGCCGCCAGTCAATTTGGTCAAGCCGGTTGGACACAGGCTTCTTCCTCGGGGTCTTCCACCCAGCAGTGGTCTAGCGGTTCCAGTGGAGAGGGTTCCGGTGCTTCAACATCTTCAACGGCATCCAGTCAATCCGCAAAGCAGGGGCCAAGGGATTCCAGCCAATCCACTCAGCAACAGCAGTCGTCAACAGCTTCAAGCCAATCGGCGCAGCAACAGGCTTCAAGCGGTCCCAGTCAATCTGCACAACAACAATCGTCCACTGCTTCAAGCGGTGCTGCATCTTCTTCATCTGGGTGCACATTAACTGGCGTCTACTCCAAGGGGGTCGACGTATCATAGTGCGAGAACATCGTGATCAAGGATCTGAGCGTCCCTGCCAGCACTACACTCGACTTGACAAAGGTTGCCAAGGGTGCAACGATCACGTTTGAAGGAACGTCGACATTCGAGTACGCTGAATGGGAAGGCCCGCTCGTTCTTCTAACCGGAATAGAACTAACTGTCATGTGTCCCGTACCCGGGAACGGAGGGGTCATTCCAGGAGCTCTGCCTCCCGTCGGGATGACTCGAGACCCTGGGAATCACTCCTCGCCCCGCCGTCCCGTCAGAATGGTTCCCGTTGAACCCAACAACGCACGTGCCCCTGACCGAGCCCGTTAGGGTGGTCCTTTAAGGGGACCCCAGAACGCCGGTTTCTTGGCGTCGTGGGACCAAAAATACCTCGCGACATCAAGCCCCTTCGCAGAAGCTCTCCGTTGTCCAACGAAGGCCGACAACAAACGAAGTGAATCCTTTCTTTTTTTGATATGTAGTGTAGTGTATGTAAGATCGACAAGGTGTTAGACCTTTCTTCCGGTTAGCTCTCAGTCTTATATTTCCCTCCTTCTACTCAAGAGGAAGCCAAGCCAATCAAACAAACTTTTATTTTCAACTCTCTAGTGTTCCTATCTACCGTTCCTGCAGCCACTGAACAAGACCGTACTCCCTGAACAGCCGCGGACTACCCGACCCTTGAAGGAAGAGGAGGTATACGACATCTGGTGTAGAAGCAGGGTAAGCCTCGTGGAGAACGTCAGAAGGAAGGACAAGATGTCGGCTACTAGCAACAGAGAAGATGAGAGCGCCACTATCCGGGAAGAAGAAGGCCCGACTGGGAGTCTGCCTTCGAGAATGAGACCCAGTCTGTCGACTACGCAAGGCCTCCAAAACGTACAGAATATCGTAGACCAAGCGGCTAACCGACTTGGAGGGAACAGCTCTAGTGCTGGTGTCGAGCCACCCGCGGACGCTTTATCCTCCGGGGTCCCTGCGACCTTCACTACGGAAGAGTTGGGCCC